GAAATGAGTGCCATATTCGTAATGAGCATCCCCAAATACCTCGAAAAGGATACCCATATAGCATATTTTGAAAAATCATGTCCGCCATCTTGGATTTACAAATAAGTGCTATATTCGTTTTTCATCGACAAAACCGAGCATATCTGTAGGCACCTGATCGACAATGTCGGGCAAATCTGTAAGCACCTTTAACTTAATGATGAGTTAAGCAAGATACAATTTCCCCACTTTTGAGGGAAATGTTATTCCATGGCATCATTATTTGTATATTTGTGTGCGTGCCGACGAGCGTAGTTACAAGTTGCTTACGCCTACATGAATTTGGTTTTTGCCTCACTTGTGACAGTTCGTTTGATATGAAACTATCATTCTATGCGTTATTATTCTAAGAATATAACTATTTATTTCACTTGTATTGTAAGAATTAATTTCTAGAATGGTGTTTAAACTATTTGGTTATTCTAAAACCGAATAACTCAAAGCATGAAACGTACCTATAACAATAAACAAAACGCTTGTATTTTTTGAATTTTAGCTGTTTTTTTAGTTACTTTTCTTTTTATTACCCAAATACATCGTCGCCGTTTCATTTTCCCCGAAAAAACAGTGTTTATAAATCTTGTACATAAACCTTTTAGTTGTATCCCATGGCGGCATTACTTTTTAACTTTAGTTATTTTTCCTTACACAAATAGGAAACCTTGTGACGTAAGGGTATTTTCACCTTGATCCGTATTAACTCCTTGTTACCGTAAATCCTTCTGCCTTTATCTGTATTTGCTCCTTTGTACCGTTAAATCCTTCTGCCTTGGTCTGTTTTTGCCCATTCTTACCGTTAAATGTTTCTGCCTTGATCTGTATTTGCTTCTTCGTTCCGTTAAATCCTTCTGTCTTGATCTGTACTTGCTCCTTCGTACCGTTAAATCCTTCTGCCTTGATCTGTACTTGCTCCCTTGTACCGTTAAATCCTTCTGGCTTGGTCTGTATTTGCTCCTTCGTACCGTTAAATCCTTCTACCTTGATCTGTATTTGCTCCTTCGTACCGTTATGCAATTCTGCCTTGGCCTGTATTTGTTACCTCGTACCGTTAAATCCTTCTGCTTTGATCTGTATTTGCTTCTTCGTACTGTTAAATCCTTCTGCCTTGATCTGTATTTGCT